AATTACAGACCCATCTCAAATCTTCCATTCATGTCAAAAATATTAGAAAAAGTTGTGTCCGCTCAACTCGGCTCTTTCTTGCAAGAAAACGACATCTATGAAAAGTTTCAGTCTGGATTCAGGCCACATCATAGCACTGAAACTGCGCTTGTTAGAATCACAAATGATTTACTTTTAGCTTCGGACCAAGGCTGTATCTCAGTACTAGTTTTACTTGATCTTAGTGCTGCGTTCGATACTATAGATCACACAATACTCTTAGATCGACTACAAAATTACACTGGTGTTCAAGGACAAGCATTAAGCTGGTTTAGGTCATACTTATCTGACCGCTACCATTTCGTCTACTTAAATGGAGAAAAAACCTGAGTGCCGCAGGGATCTGTGTTAGGCCCTTTATTATTCTCAATATATATGCTGCCACTTGGTAATATTCTAAGGAAACATGGAATTAGTTTCCATTGTTATGCCGATGACACTCAAATATATTTCATCACGGCCAGATGAATACGCTAAATTATCCAAATTGACAGATTGTGTTAAAGATATAAAAGATTGGATGACGCGTAATTTTCTTTTATTAAATCCAGACAAGACAGAGGTAATACTTATCGGTTCTAAAAACCGTCCACAAAACCTTTCACAGCACGACTTTAACATATTAGGATGCCCTGTTACTTTATCCGCTACAGTAAAAGACCTGGGTGTTACATTAGACTGCAACCTGTCTTTTGAAAAGCATATTTCATATGTCACAAAAACAGCCTTTTTCCACCTTAGAAACATTGCTAAACTACGTAATATGCTATCAGTCTCTGATGCAGAAAAGTTAGTTCATGCATTCATGACCTCGAGACTAGATTACTGTAATGCTTTATTAGCTGGTTGTCCTGCATCTTCAATAAACAAGCTACAGTTAGTCCAAAATGCAGCTGCTAGAGTTCTTACTAGATCAAGAAAATATGATCATATAACACCGATTCTATCATCACTTCATTGGTTACCTATAAAGTTCCGTATTAATTACAAGGTATTGCTTTTGACTTATAAAGCTCTAAATGGTTTAGCTCCAGTCTATTTAACGGATCTTCTATCGCCCTATAATCCATTGCGCTCTTTAAGATCACTAAATTCGAGGCTTCTGGTCATTCCTAGGATATCCAGATCCACCAAAGGAGGGAGAGCATTTTCACATTTAGCTCTGAAGCTCTGGAATAGCCTTCCTGATATTGTTCGTTGCTCAGACTCGTTCTCCCAGTTTAAAACTAGACTAAAGACGTATTGTGTATTGTGAAAAGCGCTATATAAATATATTTGACTTGACTTGACTAACTGCCACAAGCGGTCATTTTGACCGTTAGATTGCAAACTCTATATCTTTAATGATAAATACCCAATTGAGAGATTAATGCATTTATTGTATTAGGATATCTTTTAAAAACAAAACAACACCAAACTGTACATTTAAACAAGTTTAATTATACATTTATAAATAATAATATCAGTAGCCCGTAATTATCGCATATTCACAACAGATAGCTATATTTCCATATCCATTCAACATAACTCAGAACAAGATAATAACAACTAAAAGTATCTTAGGCCTTGTCCACACGGATCACTCAGATTTATTTTTATAACCGGAGTTTTTCCTACAGCGTTTAAAAAAAAAATCCCGTCCACACATGCTCGGTCTCCGTCTACATCAGTGGTTCTCAACCTTTTTTGGCCCAGCGCCCCCTTTCCAAGATCCAGAACCCTGACCGCCCCCCACCACCACCAAAAAAGGGCTAAATGTCTTTATTGAATGTATGCTGATTATCATTCTGTTATAATAATAATAATAAAAACAATAATAATGTGTATGATTGACGTCCTTATTTTCTTCTTAAAATTATAATTATCATTATTATTATTATGAAATCCGTAACTTTAAGTATTTAAATTGTGAAACATTTATGTATTGAGTCAGTATATCCATTTTCAAAACCGTGCTTTTGTCTTATTCTGAATTACTAAAGTACACCTAATAAGTGTACATAAGGGCCGCATCGTTTTCTCCTTTCCACAAGCGCTTGCGCTCCCGTCTGTTGTTGCTAAGAAAGCATGAACTGCGCTCTCCATGACATGATGACGAGGATTCATTGCATTTGATACAAAGGATTGATTGATTTCTAGCCCTTGCATTAGCTTTACTAGTAGATATATTTATGGAGATGAGAAAAAAAAAACCTGCCCTGTACAGCTATGATCAGCTGTCCGGCCGAGCGTTCGATGTTGTTACGGAAAGGCTGAAGCTGATCAGATGGGTTTTGTCATTATGACTTGCTGTGCACTTGCGGCATTCTGAAAAGTTGAGATGTTTTCAACCGAGGCGTCGGTTAACATATTATGTCTTCAGTTAACTAATTTATAGTTATAAACGCAAATAATAATAATTACCATTATTACCATTATTATTATTACATTTGGGCTATGTAGAAGACGCTTTTATCCAAAAAAAAAAGAAGAACAACAAAGCAATTCTTCAAATGTCTCTCACAATACAAGTTAGTAGTTAGTAGTAAGATTATCACAAATAAACACAAGATGTTTACGCATATCCAAGTGTGTGTGCGGAGTGTGGCGCTTGCTGCATGCAGGCACGATCACGTGCATTTTCCTATCAACAGTGGAAACAACTGAAAATACTAGCTATATAATTTCTGGTCATAAAAAAAAAAAAAAAAAAAAAAAACATAATTTGCAACTTTTATTTAAACTCACAATAACAAGAAAATGTGCTTTTGTAAATAAAATCAAACTATCAGGCGCACTTTGATGAACTGGAGCGCGTCTCAAATATGAACAAACAAAATATAGCCTACCTATATTGAAATGTCCACTTTTAAACGAAAAAAATCTGATCGAAAGCAAATACCCGTATGAAAGGTGCATTTCTCTCTAAAGGCGCATCCGCTTTACAGCGGAGATGGAGAGGTTTTCAGCCGACAGCGACACTGATTTATAAAACACTAGTTTATTAATAAACAATTAAAATGGGTCAATGTGAAGACACATTTATTATCATATTAACTTATAAAACATCTATAAATCAGTTATGGTTAGAGGCTCTTCTCATTCAGCACTGCGGGAAAAATATAATTTCCAGGTTCTAATTTGGCCTTAGAAATTGTTTCCATATTAATTTGTGAATATTTTAATTGTTTAATAAAGGGGCAAAAAGTCATAAACAAAAATATGAAAATACATTATATATATATATATATATATATATATATATATATATATATATATATATATATATATATATATATATATATATATATATTTGCGTAGCATTGTGTAGCCTACATTTCAAATTCAAATTTTGGTATGCAAATTTGCATTTAAAAAAATAAAACAACCTTTAATTTTTCATTTTTCAATTACAGGTTAAAAAGGAAAAAGGAATGGACACAAAAGTACACGGACCCAATTCTATCAAACTTTTTCTACAAATGCATTATTTGAAATGTTTTAATAATATAAGGTCCTTTTACTTTTACTATCCATTCGTTTTTCCTTTTTAACCCGTAATTGAAAAACGAAAAATTAACGGTTGTTGTATTTTGCTTTTGTTGGTTTTTTGGTTGTTGTATAAAATGCAATTGACATATTTACATATTTTTGTTTGACATTGTGCCCCTTTATTAAACATTTAAAATACTAAATTTAGATTTTTACTGTTTTTCTAAGGCCAAATTAGAACCTGGAAATTATATTTTCCCCGCAGTGCTGAATGAGAAGAGCCATGTCTCTGGAACCATACAGAGATCTGATTTATTTACTGGCTAATGATAATAAATGTGTCTGAAAAAATAACGAGTTTGTAATTTTAAATGTATAGTTTATTAGTAAACTAGTGTTTTATAAATTAGTGTTGGCTGCAAGCAAATCTCCATCTCTGCTGTAAAGCGGATGCGCCTTTAGAGAGAAATGCACCTTTCATACGGATTACATCAGACTGTATTAGCTTTCGATTTGAATTTGTTCGTTTAAAAGTGATTTAAATTTTTTTTTTAAATTAACCAATCACATGAACAATAACCTAAATGGCCAATGAAAAGGCAGCGTCGTTCGCGCACTTAATTAGGCAATATATAGGCTTCAAATTTGAATAGCCAAACAGCCAGTTGATTTCAAATGACGAACAAAGAAGACACCAGAACTGAACCAAAGAAAAAAGACAAAGGCATCCAAAACAGTCAACATTAATTACGGTCATTAGTGTGAGCCCTGAGCTTGGTGACTGGCAGCCAACTTTTTCACATCAGGACACAAGGATGTCAGCTTGAGCCGGAGTGCGCCTGAGGTAACCAAATTGAGACGGCTGCGGTACTTGGTCTGCATGTGCAAAGCTTGACTGAACCCCTGCTCGACAAGGTATGACGTCGGAAAAGCAAGGAGCAGAAGACGAATCCTCTTCCACAAAAGAGGGAAACGCTGACCATGCGTGGCCCACATGACGCGCCAGCCACAGGCACGAAAGGTTGCCTTGGCCTCCTCATCATTTTGGAGGTCGATTAGAGTTTCTTGAATTTCGGCCTCACTCCTGGACACATCCCCTTCAAATGGCTCCATCACCCACTCAGGGACATCCAATTGTTCGAGGTCCCTGAAACGGATCTCCATGTCCGCCTTCACTGCCCTCAAGTGATCGGTGTAACGCAGCAGGTGGTTATCGGTCAGCTCATCAACCACCTGAATGTAAGTACAGAAAGGCAGTTAACGTTATTGATTTTATTTTTAGGCTGCCTTTGTAAATTTAAATATAACTAATACTCCTACTACTAATAATAGCTAATAATAGGCTACCTTGGCCAGCTGAGGAAAGTTACTGAACTGACGCCTGCTCAAATTTAGTTTGTACAGCTCCAGCTTGGCGAGGAAACTGCAGATGGTGGCTTTTGAATGGACCAGTGTCACGGCATCTCCCTGGAGCTTGAGTGACACTTCATTCATCTTCCCGAAAAAATCTGCCAGGTAAAATATGTCAGCGCGACACGACCACAGGTGTCCCTTAGACCTGCGTCGGCACCGGCAAGGAACTCCAGGACACTTGTGAACAACTCACACAGCCTAGCCAGACAGTTGCCCTTGGATAGCCAGCGTACCTCGGTGTGGAGCAGCAAGCGCTGAAACGCTTCATCGTTCTCCCCGCACAGCTGCCTGAAGATCCGGTCGTTCAGAGCATGGGCCTTAATTTTGTTTATGGCCCTGACAGCGATGTTCAGAGACTGGTGGAGAGAAGGACTTAAATTTTTGGCCACTAAATTGTGACGGTGCAACATGCAGTGCACTGTTAACACCTGCGGCACACGCTCCTTTAACAAAGTTGCGAAGCCACGGTACCTGCCAACCATAGCGGGAGCTCCATCTGTGGCACAGGCGAGGATGTTGGCGATGGGAATACAGTTCTCCAGCAGGTAGTCACTCAGAGCCCTGAAGATCGTCTCCCCTCGTGTGTCAGTGGAGAGATATTTGGCAAACAAAACATCCTCGGCCACATCCCTCTCAGACATATAACGCACATATGCCATCAGCAGAACATTATTATCCATGGTCGTGGTTTCATCTAGCTGGATACTGAATGGATGTTCACGTAGTGTGGCACACAACTGCTGCTCAGTATCCATAGCCATCTCCTTTATTCTCCGAGCCACACTGTCATTGCTGAGCGGGATGGCCTGCATCACTGGCGATGGGTCTCTCTCCATGACAGTGGAGATGGCCTCTTTAATCGCTGGGATAACCAGCTTCTCCCCCGCTGTAAATGGCAACCCGGACTTCGCTATCATAAGAGAGATGTTATAGGAGGCCACTAACCCACTGTCTGTCTGGTTTACCTTCCTAGCGAACATCTTGGAGATGGACTGTTTCGAAAGCTGCTCCTTGATGTTCTGGAAAAACGCAGCATCCTTGGATGCCTTATCCGGGTGAATTTTAGTAAGGTGCTCCTTAAGACGGGACGGTTTCATTGCCTCGTTAGAAAAAACCTGCTGGCAAAGCAGGCACATAGGGAGCTGGATGTTCGTGGGTGAGGGAATAAATCCATATTTAATATACTCGACACTATACTGTCTGCACTTCTTCTTGTTTTCCGCCATGATGTTTAAATGTGTTTTGATGTCAAAATTGTTTTAGTTTACGTGATTGTGTGCATTTTGATTGGACACATTAATCTTAAACCGCGAAGCTTGTGTACATTTTGATTGGACACATTCTTTCTACCACTCTGCCGGCTGCGGCATTTGTTTTTAAGCGTTGCCATGGAGATAATTTGCCGGTAACTAGCCGGGACAAGTCTGAGTGGGCTACTAGCAACATTTAAATATTAATTAATTAACACAGACATAATTTTATTTTACATTAAAACATGGACGCTATGGAATTATGTCGGACAGAGACGCATTCGGAAGGGCATTTTCAAAAGTGCGAATGACTCATTCATTCTTTTTTTTTTCTTTTGCGCAGGTAATGTTTTGAAAGACGATGTCTTGTAACGTTAGCTTACTGATGTAAATAAATAAAAATGTATACAAAGATGTGATGATGTCCTGATTCACTTTCTTTTTTTTTTCTCTTTTTTTTTTTTATTGCATAACAAGAACAATATATAATATACACATACGGAGGATCACATAGTATTATATCTATTACATTCATAATAGCATCAAAGAAACAATAGACAGAAAGAAAAAAAAAAATAAGGGGAAACATTACAAAAAATTCCAAAAAGAAAGTGGATTTAAAAGTAGTATACATCCGTTTCGCTTTTTTATTTCTTACATCTTTTAGGGAGACTTTCACTTTCCATAACGGACTGAAGTGCGCGTCCGAGTGAAGACAACACATTTCAGCGCTAGATCGTCTCTTATTTAACAAACGAATGAAACGAATGCTGCTAGTTAACTGGATATGTTTTATTTGTATTGGTACATCCGTGCCGCGAGATGTTTTAAAAGTGTTTCAAAACCGCCCTGTAGGCTAAATGACGCCTAGGCTACTATTTCATATACCGGTAGGCTACATGTTCTACGATATGATATTTTATATTAATATTCTCATAGGAACCTGAGACTCGCGCTTGGGACTGCACGTGCGTATTGGATCGTCTGGCCTGGTGGGACTCCGAATGAAGGTGGAATGGATTTGAGCAGCAGCGTGGAAATCAATGCTGTACCTAAAACGCCCATGCATTCAAATTAACATTGTATGTGTTGTCAGAGGCTTAAAAAAGTTGTGATAATAACAGTGAGTATATAGTGCCACAGTCAGACATAACGCCCCCCATTTGTGCCTGAGCGCCCCCCTCTCAGCTGCCTCGTTCCCAACGCCCCCCGACACTGTCCAAACGCCCCCAAGGGGGCGGTACCGCCCCCGTTGAGAAACGCTAGTCTACATGAAAACGCAAAAACACGCTATCAAGCGCGGTCAAGAGCATGCCACGCCAGCAGGCGGCGATATAAACCTTAACCGTAAAGCCACGTTGCCCAATCAGAAGCGCAAATCTGACGTCAAACACAGCGGATAACGGCGCACACTCTGACGTCGCAAGGCAAAAACCCCGGTTTCAATGTCTACACGACAACACTGTAACCGGCGTTTCTGAAAATCATCACCCTGGCAGGGTTTTATTTTTTAAATGTTCGGTTTCAGTGCGTTTTCGTGTGGACGAACGGCCGAACCGCGTAAAAAAGCCACGGTTATAAAAATACCCGTGTCCATGTGGACAGGGCCTTATTTAGATATTATTTTGACAGTGAGAGAGACAATGTCACGGTTTATGAATTCGCTGTCTCCTTTCTCGTCTTGTTGTGTGTGTGCGTGGTCGCTGATCATTGCAGCTGATCAGCACGCCCGCTCTGATCAACGCGCCAGATGCAACTGATCAGCGATTCTACCCTTTTTAGTGTCACTGTTATCGCCTAGTTTTTGTCAGATCGTTGTGGATGTTTCCTGCGTGTTTGTTCCCTGCCTGTATCCGTTTTCCGTGTGTCATCCATCCGTGTTCAGCACTCCTGGTTCTTCACGCAGCGTCCCTGTGCTGCCAAGGGCTTCATACTGGACATTTGCACACCTTAACTCTCCCAGCATCTGACCAGCTCTCAATAAACATATCTGTCATTTTGCAATTGAATTGAATCTTCTGATTATTTGGGAAATGTAACAAAAGAATAAATTTTTAAAAAAAGAAATTCAGTGCGGTCAATATGACCGTCTATGGCCGAAATAGGTAAATGTGTTCATTTGGTTTTTTTGCCTTATGTGTAATTTATATTAAAAAACATTTTAAATGAAAATACATTCACTTTTAGGAAAAGTCAGGTACCAGCAGGATTTTATTTATTTTTTCAACAAAGTTATTGCAGATATAAAATTCAAAACGGTCAAAATGACCGTCGTGGCCGTTCTAGTGTTAATAGTACTCGAAGATGACAGGCTCTCTAAGCGTGATCGCAATCAGTCGACACGTCGACTACGTCGAATGTGAGCGACTGAAAGGGAACTGGGAGCCAATGTAAAGACCTGAGGACTGAATAAAGAATGATTTCCCTCCCCTTTTGTATGTATTGCATTGCATATTGTATGTTCAGGGATGATAGATTGATAAGCAGCATGCTATTTATGACTGGATGTAACTTTTGATACTTTGTGGTAAAAGTGGCTCTCCAATTGATTTTGTCCTAGTGTGGCTCTCATCAAAAAATAGTGAAGACCACTGCTCTAGATGTATGTTTTGACAGGGCATTAAAAATGTGGTAACAATAACCTTTCAGCTGCAAGTTACTGACTTGCCATATGGGAACAATTTTTCCCCTCTCTCTCTCTCTCTCTGAGAAATGGGTACTTGGGCTGTTGATACAAGACGGACTCCAATTAAATTATTACCTGATTATGTTCTGATTATGAAACTGATTATCATTGTGCGATTCTAATTTTACTGGATCTGTCCGCTGCATTTGATACCATAGACCATAAGATCTTGGTTACACGCTTAGAAAAATGTGTTGGTATTGAGGGTACTGCGTTGGCATGGTTTAAATCATATTTGTCTGAAAGAACTATCTCAGTTCGCCTTGGAGAATTTGCCTCCTCAACGGCTTCTTTTACGTGTGGGGTCCCCCAGGGCTCCATTTTGGGGCCTATTTTGTTCGCCTTGTATTTGCTCCCCCTGGGACATATTTTCAGGAAGTTTGGCATCTCTTTTCATTGTTATGTAGATGACACGCAAATCTATCTGCCTTTGAAAAGGAGAGACACTCATACGTTAGCGCCTCTATTACAGTGTCTTGAGGAAATTAAGGCCTGGATGGCACTGAATTTCCTAAGTTTTAATGAAAGTAAAACAGAAGTCATGCTGTTCACGCCGGGTGGCACTTATGAATCCTTACAGGTGGATCTTGGGGAATTGAATCCACTAGTGAAACCATATGTTAAGAATTTAGGTGTGATTATGGACTGTGATTTTAAATTGGATAAACAGATTAACTTAGTAGTTAAGTCTAGTTTTTTCCAATTGAGACAACTCACCAAGGTTAAATCTTTCCTGTCTTTTATAGACTTTCAAAGACTGCTTCATATTTTTATCTCATCGCGTCTGGACTATTGTAATGGCCTCTATGTAGGCATTAGTCAGGCCTCTCTCTCCAGACTGCAGAGGGTCCAGAATGCAGCAGCTCGCCTGTTGACGGGTACACGAAAGCGGGAACACATTACCCCTATTCTATCCTCTCTTCACTGGTTGCCTGTCCATTTTAGGATTAATTTTAAGATTTTGATGTTTGTTTTCAAATCTCTTAATGGTCTTGCACCGAAGTATCTGTCTGAACTGATCAAGCAGTATGCGCCGCCAAGAGCGCTTAGGTCTGCTGACCATTTGCTTTTAGTTGTCCCTCGGGTTAAGCTGAAGAGCAGGGGCGAAAGAGCATTTGCAGTAGCTGGACCAAAGCTTTGGAACAATTTGCCCTTGTACATCAGACAGGCTCAGACACTTGCTGCTTTTAAATCTAGTCTTAAAACCTATTATTACAGTTTGGCATTTGACGCTATGTGAGAGTTGTTTTATTGCTTTTGTTTTATTGTTTTTATTTTTTGTGTCATTGATTGTTTGTAGCAGTGATATAGGATATAAGTGTACAGCACTTTGTCAAACACTTGCTGTTTTTAAAAGTGCTTTATAAATAAACTTTGACTTTGACTTATGATAGAAAATCTAAGGCCTTCAAAAGCCGTACAGCAAACCCATCTAATCTGGTGCCTATTACATGCCAAACTAAGATTGCTGTGGGGACAAAAAGTAAGACTGTTAAGTTAGCACTTTTAAACATCCGCTCACTTAAAAATAAATCACTTCTAGTCAATGACTTAATGACCACATACAACCTGGACTTTATGTTTCTAAATGAAACTTGGCTAGAAGACAGCTGCAGTGGAACAGTCCTCAATGAAACATCCCCTCCTAACTTTACTTTTATGAGTGTCTGCAGAGCGGGTAAGAGAGGCAGGGGCTTAGCTGTTCTTTTTAAAGATGTCTATGAATGTAAGCAAATATCATTTGGGAATTACCCGTCTTTCGAATATCTGGGTATTGTGTTAAAAGGTGCTCCACGTATTTTACTTATCATTATTTACAGGCCTCCAAAACACTCTCCAGCCTTTGCTGAGGACTTTACAGAACTGCTATCAACAATTTCCTCAGAGTTTGACTGTTTTGCCATTGCTGTAGATTTTAACATTCACATAGATAATGCAGAAAACAATATGGCAAAAGAAATCAAAACTGTTTTAAAAACTTTTGATCTGACTCAGCATGTACATGGTCCCACACACAATCGTGGACACACTCTAGATTTACTTATCAGTAAGGGTCTAAACATCTCATCAATTGTTATTAAGGATGTAGCACTGTCTGATCATTTCTGTATTTTCTTTGATATATTGATCTCTCCTGCCATTGAAGCTAGATCTGTGTCTGTCAAGAAGAGATGCTTAAAGGAGCTGTATGTAAGAAATGTATTTCAATTAATCATAAAATGGCCCTGAAATGTCACTAGACATTAAGAAATCATGTACATTTCAAATACTTATATCACTGACAACAGTA